AAAATAATTTCTAATCTTAATTTGATATTTTGAAGACTAATTCGAATATATGGAAACACGCCTACTGGTAGTCTATAAAGAAGGTATCTCTTCAGTCAGTCAGTCACAACGTAGAACTTCGTACGTATGTACATCAGTTCGAGTTGGGATACCACATTAGCACAGAGATATAGTCGCCGATTCAAATTCCATAGTGATAGAAGTAGTAAGAGTACAAGCATCAATGTGAAAGATTAAGGTTTAAAGATGTTATTGAAGGAGTATAATACAGTGAAATAAATTTAGAATGAGAAAAAAGATAGAGACATGAAAAATTCAAAAGATTAGAATTCGGCAGAACACAAAGAGTGGATGCACCTTCGCCATTGCAAACGATTTTGAGCCATGTTATTCAAGGTCTCTAACAAACAGTTTCTATAAATTCAGTTCCGAAGTACTTCAGTCAAAGATCAACTACCTAACTGGTAACGTCTATAAACGAAACTAAGTAGTGTAAGTTTGAATTACACAAGTAATTCATATTTCTATTCAAATTGTAGGGATATTTTACTAACAGATATCAGGTAGCACAAATCCCAGGCTGAGAAGTGCATTCTGGTAACTATTTCCAATCACCTAAGATATCAATAAGTTGAAGGGAGATTTCTATTTGATGCATTACCATAATTATCAAACCAGATAGTTTGAAGAAATAAAAACAACCCCAGTGTAATGCATAAAAGGTTGATGCCTTCATGATATCAATAACACTTTATTAAATTTACTTTCTATATAACCCATATATATATATATATATATATATATATATATATATATAAGTCTTGAATACTGTTAAAGGTATGAAGGTAGTTATCACTTCCCTGTTGCCCACACCGTGGAAGAGTTCTTCTAGAGGTATCTGAAAAGGAAATTGGGTTAGAAGTGGTCTTAATGACCTGAGAGCGCGACCGCACTGCCCAAGGGACAACTGCTTGAAGTCGGTCACACACGACCTTTTTGTGTTAGCTCCGTTCTTCAAAGGACCTTACCGCCGGAGATGGATATCCGTGGGATAAGGCGAGGTGTGCATTTTTAGGGTCGGCCTTTTCTAACCCCACACCTCCTTATGAAGAGGCAGCATCGCTGTTATACTGGTTGTCTGAAGGGAACACCTTACTGCTGTCACACCTCTGTACAGTCAGCAGTATAACTTCGCATTCGGACCTTAGATTTGCTGCTTTCTAGTCTTACCGCTCTTCAACCGACCTGCCTGGCATGGTAGGACCTTGAGGAACGATTGTTCCAGCCAGTATATCTCGATTGGTTCATCACGATTGGCAAGCCCGACCACCACGTCACGGTAGCAGCAACGGTCGATATATATATTGTTGAATGGTGTATATCTCTTTGTATATATAAGAAGTTAGATGGACTTGACAAATTAACAAGGTCACTTTCTTTTCTCTCTCTACTCTTTACGTGTACACATATACATTACCATAAAAAAATAAACAAATGAGAATTAGGGGAAAGAAAGCAAGAAAGTGAGTGATTTATTGAGAGAGAAAGAGAGGGATAGAATAACCAGGAAAAGTTCTTTTCGTTGAACAATCAATAATTAAGGAATAAAAAAAAAAGTATCCTGAGTCCCTGGTATTAATTTCCCTCAATGAAATTTTGTACCATTATTATTGTTACTATCTTAAAAACAAACATGAATATATATAAGATAAATGAGGTCAATTTTAATTAACAACCATCATTGATTTTATTCCTAAAAATTTATTATTACAAAATAAGGTTATTTTATTTTATTTAAACACATAAATATTGGTACAAGGAAAAACCAGATATATATGCGCCACATAAATCTCATTCGATTTGTGTGAGGGCAGTATCACTGCCCTCACAGAAAGTTCAATTTTTTATGTCATTCATTTATTAAGAGCATATGTTTATACAATAGATATTGAACTTAAATTTTTGTGTGACACTTAAATTTAATTATAGAAGGGGTTTTGTGGAGATTTAGTATTTATCATTGTTGAAAGCGTGAGTCAATTGAAGCTAGACCACCATGGAAAACCTGGAAACACTGGACGGCCGTTTCGTCCTATTATGGGACTCCTCAGCAGTGCGCATCCACGATGCCAGCTCAGTGGTCTATCGGTTAAGGGCTTCGGCTCGAGACTGGTAGGTCCTGGGTTCGAATCTCGCTCGCGAGAGCAGGTTCGTGGATGCGCACTGCTGAGGAGTCCCATAATAGGACGAAACGGCCGTCCAGTGTTTCCAGGTTTTCCATGGTGGTCTAGCTTCAATTGACTCACGCTTTCAACTTAAATTTAAGCCGGTATGCAACGGAGTTTAAATGTTGAATGTTTTAACCATTTGACCGCTATCACCATCACCTAAATGTTATTACTAGTCAGTAAAGTTTGGTTGTTTTTTGCTCACTACTGAATAAAAATTGATTATCTTTGTTTCACAGTAAGATGTTTTTGTTTTCCGTATGGATGGCCGGGACTTTAAAAGTATTTTTTGTATATGTTACCATCTTGAGACATTGAATCAAGCGAGTTAAGTATGTATTCAACGAACATCATTCGAGCTTTTCATATCAGGCATTATTTACTGAGACTGAGATCGAGTGTAAAATGGTGGTTAGTTAATGATATGATGCCATGATATGAAAGGTAGTTGTATAAAATTTGTATCCGTCAGTCAATCACAACCGTTAAGCAGGAAATCCTAGACTAAAGAGTTCATTCTAATTGATAATCATAAGCAAGGCTTATCTTTAATCTTGAAGGAATTCCTTTCAGGACACAAACCACCATCACGAAGCTTTGGAGTTTGAAACGTTATTACGGGATGTGACTGATTTTCTGTAGGACTAATATATTAGCATTTAAATTCATCACTGAATAGTAATCAATAAAATGCATGACTATCCATTAATGGGTTAAACGAACTTTATTGATCAAGATCATCACCATCCTTTACTTGAAATTTTAGACATCGCGTAACTCGATAGCTTGAGACGTTATCGTATATACTTCAGAATTGGGACCAATGGATATCTAGGTGTAATTTTCTACTTAACTCTTTTAATTAAAAGAATTAATTTTTGATTGTATTATTATCTGAATTATATTCCCTATTGTACACTATTATTGTTCATTTATACCTTTTTCCTTATAATCTTTTTGTGCGGATCATGGTTTGGGTACCCTACATAATTTGTTGAAGTTAGACATTAACACCATTGGATGCCGGCTCAGTGGTCTTTCGGTTAAGTGCTCTGGTGCGATACTAGAATGTCCTGGGTTTGAATCTCGCCAGGCGCACTGCTGAGAAGTCCCACAATACGACGAAACGGCCGTCCAGTGCTCTCACGTTTTCCTTGGTGAACTAGCTTCAATTGACTCATGCTTTCAACTATGAAAATACTGAAATCTCCACACAAACCCCTTCTAAATATGATTATGAAAAATAAAAGAAACTTGGTCCGAAATAAACGAAGTTTGTATGGGATTGAGATGTTCAATTGATGAATTCAGAAAGCACAAGGGGTTAAGTAAAGTAAACTTTAATGAAAAAAATGAAGCACAGTTAATCGTCATATATCCTAGGAATAGAAATGGCGATATTAAATGTGAATATTCACATATACAGACTGGATTCATAGCATAAACCAAACTGTCAATATTTTCTCTATATCACAATATAATAATTACTTTAAGTAATAGATAATCATTTCATATGATAAGGTTATTCTCCACTGAATTGTTAACCCAGGCAATCATTTTGAAACAGAATTTAAACATGAATTCATTTCATATGAACATACTACTTTATAAATTCATTTAGTATTGTTTGTTTGAATTTTCCCATCGATGTGTTAGGACTGCAACTGGTCAGTCTCTTATTGGCCATATGTGCGTATTGCCTCGATATAACCTTAATTCACAAGCATTGTAAGCAAAGATGGATAGTGGCTAACAGTGGAATCCAGTTGGACGCGCGTTTCGTCCTATTTGGGTTAACATCAACTCTGAGATGCAGGTACATCGAGCTGACGAGTCCCAAATAGGACGAAACGCGCGTCAAACTGGATTCCACTGCTAGCCACTATACATTTTTGCTTACAATACTACTTAATATATGAAATTACTTGGATTAATTCAATCGCTTAGATTTATAAATTCCGTTTGTTTAAAATAATACGTTTTATTTTACGACTGAAAAAGTTCATCATCTCAGATTAATCAGTTAGCCAACTAGTTAAATGTACAATAGTTGAAAGCATGAGTCAGATGAAGCTAGACCACCAAGGAAAACCTGGAAGCACTGGACGGCCATTTCGTCCTATTGTGGGACTCCTCAGCAGTGCGCATCCACGATCCCGCCTGACGAGATTTGAACCCATGCTTTCAACTATGAAAATACTAAATCTCCGCAAAAAACCCATTTTGATTAAATGTACGATATTTTAAGATATCTACTGATTTTGATAAATAAACATTAATGAGTCAAAATTTATCTGGTATCACTATGAATATGATAGATATTATAATGATGTCAGTCGGTCAGTTACAACGTAGGACCAGGCACACATATGAATCGGTCCAAGTTGCCATACCTCGTTAGCACAACAAGATAAACACTGGATTCACAGAAATAGTTAATTTAGTGGTGGTAGTATATAAAGAAAGGTTGTATATAAGGATATAGTATAGGAAGGAAGAACGTTATGAAGCAATTTTATTCTTAAGTTTTAAGGGAAAATAAAGAGTGTATTCAACTACGCCATTGTGATCGATTCTGAGACATGTCACCTAGAGTCTCCAACTGTTTGTTACTATGGTCGCTCGGACCCCAACCAAGTAGTCTGCACCTGCCAACATGGCTCAGACTAGAAGTTAGTGACTTCGAGCACTTTCAAATTGAAGTATTAAAAGATATAACCATTATGATATATATATATATATATATATATATATATATATATATATAACGTATTGCGTATGTCCAATCACTGACTACCTCAATGAGCATTGTTAGCTGGAGGAAAGTGATGGGCAGATAGACCAAAACTTGACATTAGTTCATCAAGTTATTGACTGTTGGAGAAAAGTCATGTAGGTAGATGCAGAACACAGTAACTAATGGTTGGAGACGTTAGTTGATATGGCTAAGAATTCTTTAAAATTAAACAGATGAATTCACTTGTTTTCTTCTATTAAATCTCAAGCTTTAAAAGGTTTTTTTCCTAATCCATGAACTAATTCTTTCTTCTTGAATCATATTGTCTATGATTAACGTACTCTACTATCATCAATACAGTTGCTATTTCTACCACTTTAGGATTTATCTTGATAACTTCAGATTCCTGTGAAGATATGGATATCGATGTCAGATTCCACGTTCCTTATGACTCATTGATTTGCTAATTTAATGTTGATCCATGGACTATAATTGGAAACAATTGTGAAGGTCCAGTTAGACTTAAATTTTGTGTTAATTAGTTAGTGCTTATCATCAAAATGTATCTAGCACTTTGAAGTCAGCGATGATCCTGATTTTGAATTCAAATTAGCCTTATTCATAATGACAGTAAGAGATAAGCTATTGACCTCCTTCAGGTCGATTTCTATCGATTGATTGATCACTGGGTAATAACTAATATCATGTTTATCTAAACCTTTAGTATTGATACGACTCTATCAATCAAGTTGGAGTGTGGCTACTGCTCTAGGAACTAGGACAAGTGTAACATTAGTCGCTATTTAGCGATTTTGAGTGTGACTGACGAGATTATTAAATTACAAGGACTACGGTTAAAATTTAAAACTTCAATATTAAAGTAAGGCTAGGAGAAAACATAAAGGTGTCTATTATTCAGAAATCAGAATAAACATGAATTCGGTGCATTCGACACTCATTCTGAAGCAGTCTAGACACATTTTCCATAACTCCTGATTGGGTATTTATAGAGCATATATCCATATGGCTTGAGAACCAGTTAGTCTCAAATGCTCCGATAAACGTAGGAAGTAAAAAACCATGTTTATCAATAGCAAAACGAATAATTGAAATGGAGCGTATGATAAACATCAATACCATTTCTGAAATGTTATAAAGGAACGGTCAAGAACTAATTCTTAGGTTTTTGGAAACCTTAGTTAATAAAAAATTCAAATTGTCTTTGTGTGTAAAGAAATAATTTCTCGTGACCTTGACCTTGACATCTAATCTGGGTTATTTTACAGACTAGGATGATATGACAAGTTTCTATTCTTTTAATAAAAACTTTTTTTCATTCCTTTTGTTTAAAATGACCCATTTGTTTATTTGAACTTTTATTGAATTCACCTTTTATTAACTTTCGTGTAAAATGCCTTAACAAATATGTTTGAAATGCACAACGCAAATATATCACATTTTTCAGATGAACTCCGTCTTCTCATTGTGTGTAGATATACTTGTGTTCTTGGAAAACGTGAACAAGTCATTCTTCTGTTAGTGTAAATAACCGTCGTCATTGCCATAACCTGGTTGTAGCTAAGATAACCGAAAGATGGATACATAAGCTAACTCGACGAATAGATATATTTTAAAACTCTCTAAATAAATCTGAACTGTCTTCCGTCAACTTTCAACCCGACACCTAAACAAGTGAGAAGGTAATGGAAAGTCAAAGGTTCATCTGGTGATCCATGAGTAAAAAAGTCGGTATTTATACATCTTTAGAGTGTCTTTGGGGATAACTCATTTAAGATATGTTCTGTAGGGCTTGGCTGGACGGTAACCTCGTGATTCAAAATGACGACCATCAAAAAAGTCTTTTTTAAATGGCTTGTGTCGAATTTTCGGGAAATAATACATTTGCCTTCCTCCCCTTTCACTTCATTTAAATCCTACTTGATATTTATTCAATTGTCCTTTGTTAAACACTCCAACATGAGCCAATGCAATGCAGAACATGGCTTTGCATAATGAATCGTCCATCCGTACCTTTCCAAAATCACTGCTTCATCGAGATCATCCTAAGTGAGCAGTATTAGTAATTATTTACATTAACAATATACATACGTAAAATGATAACTAAAATAGAAGTTCAAATAAACTAAGACTAACCTTTGATAATGGAACACTCATAATAAGGATTATTGCCATGAGAAATTTTTCTTTCACCAAATCATTAATTACTTGTTTACACCCCTGAAAAAAATAAGCAATTAAATAATTACAATGCTTGTGAATTAAGGTTATATCGAGGCAATACGCACATATGGCCAATAAGAGACTGACCAGTTGCAGTCCTAACACATCGATGGGAAGATTCAAACAAACAGTACTAAATGAATTTAAACTTCACCCCATTACACAAGCAAGTGGCTATCAGGACTCAGTGGCCGAGTGGATAACGCGATGGCGTTTGAAGCGAAGAGTACTGGGTTCGAGGGAACATCAACTCTGAGATGCAGGTACATCGAGCTGACGAGTCCCAAATAGGAGGAAACGCGCGTCAAACTGGATTCCACTGCTAGCCACTATCCATTTTTGCTTACAATACTTGTGAATTAAGGCTATATTGAGGCAATACGCACAGTATGCACATATGGCCAATTAGAGACTGACCAGTTGCAGTCCTAACACATCGATGGGAGGATTCAAACAAACAATACTAAGTGAATTTAATTACTAGTAATGTTTGCATAAATTTTAATATATATAACTTTGAATTTTCACATTTTATATCAACTATGGTTAGACAATTACTGAAAAACAGAAAGCACTGAACTCCTTAACAATACACATCTACGCCCACCTCCGCTACCACGGTCGAACTCAAGACCTTTAGGACACATTCGGACCACCAAGTTGGCATCCAGTGATTTACCACTAGAAAGGAAAACCTGTCCATTGTATTCGGCTTTTTAGTGACTGTCTAACTAAACTCAGTCCATGATCATAATCTATAAATTATATAAATATTTTAAAACAATCGTTACATATACAAATGATAGGTTAGAATAACAAGCTGATAAAACACAAAATTACTGGGAATATTTCAATCTCAACAAACATTCCCAGCAGACTGTGTATTTTCAAGACTTTAGTCATAGATTGTGATCATCGTGCAGATTGTAATCTGAAGGCGTACACCTACTTTTACGTGGAGGCTCACTTGTTGACTTAAAATGTACCGATGACATAGTTTTATTCGGTGAAGACGCTGACAACATGCAGAGTCTTCTGACCACTATAAGCAACAATGCAGGCATGTTCGAGATGCGATTCTCTCCCTCGAAGTGCAAAATGTTACTTCAGGATTGGGTTGCATCGACACCTGAACTAATGATAGGGAGTGAAGTAGTTGAGCGTGTAGACCACTTCACTTATCTTGGGAGTCTCATCAGCCCTTGTGGTCTGGTATGTGACGAAATCTCAGCACGGATACAGAAGGCTTGTCTAGCTTTCGCCAACTTGCTTCATTTATGGCGTAGGCGAGATATCCGTCTAGCAACCAAAGGACGGGTTTACTGTGCAGCAGTTCGCTCCGTCCTACTCTATGGCAGTGAAACATGGCCGATAAGAGTAGAGGATATTCGTAGGCTACTAGTATTCGATCATAGGTGTCTTCGAAGCATTGCTCGTATATCCTGGGACCACCGGGTAAGCAATGCAGCTGTTAGGAAACGGGTACTAGGTAAGGATGGCAAATCGATTAATGAAGTAGTGAATCTTCATCAGTTGAGATGGCTGGGACATGTGTTACGTATGCCCGACCACCGACTGCCCCGACGTGCAATGTTTCATGGGGTAGGAGTAGGTTGGAAGAAAGCTAGGGGTGGCCAGACCAAAACGTGGCACAAATCAATGAAGTCACTGACAAGTGGACTGGGCCATGTTGGTAGGTGTAGACTACCTGGTTGGGATTCGCGAGATGACAGCAACCGATGGTTCGAGACCTTGAATGACATGGCTCAAAATCGTTTGCAATGGCGAAGATGCATCCACTCTTTGTGTTCTACCAAATTCTAATCTTCTGAATTCTCCATGTCTCCATCTGTTTTCTCTTTCCAAATTTATTTCACTGTATTATACTCCTTCAATAACATCTTTAAACCCTAATCTTTCACATAATGCTTATACTCTTACTACTTCTACTACTATGGGATTTGAATCGAGAACTGCATCTCTGTGTTAATGAGGTATGGCAACCCGAACTGATTTACGTACGTACAAAGTTCTACGTTGTGACTGACTGACTGACATCCTCATATCATTTCTATTTCGAAGAATTCGTTTGACCAGATGAAAAAATGAACCAATTAGACGATTATCTATTATACAAATTATGATTACAAATTGTTTATGATGAAAATTAGATTAATTAAAGAAAACAGTACAACAGTGACCAACCAGTTATATTTAACAGAGTATTTCTTGAAATTTTTCGAATTTAAAACAGCATGACAAATAAAGTAGTGGTGTATACTACTTATGTCTGTCTAAATAAGTAGTATGTAATACCAACTGAAAGTTAAAAAAACTCGCCAGCAGAAGACTAAGAAGATTGAGTTGAAGAGAATAGAAGAGAAAATAGAAAGGAATTGTGGAATGGAAAGGTTATACAGAATGTGGAGGATAAATGATAGAAGTTCGCATATTAAGTATTTAGTGTATGGTCCCCACATTTTACCAATGGATTCTGTAATCTTGTACTTAAATACAATCGGTTATCCGCACCTAAGTCTTTCATTCATTACAAAGTGATAGTTAGAAAATAATCAATCTTTTATAAGAAAAAACAATGGAATTAAAGTACATATTGTATTTTAACATGATTCACAAACTTAACATAAAGGTTCTGGAGATTTGAAATCAAAGAGCCAACTGTCCATATGACTACAATGTGTACTCTGATTTTTATTTATTTAAACACATAAATATTAGTACAAAGCGGCATCTAGATACATATGCGCTACACGAATCTCATTTGATTTGTGTGAGGGCTGTGATACTGCTCAGGTGCCCAGACTGAAGCAGGTGGTTTTCCTAGGGGGCCACACCCCAAGCCTTTGAACTAAAGGTTTGATCCACAAGGCAGTAGAGCATCGTAATGAAATGCAGTCCCATAGTAGCCGGTGACCAACAATAGGTTCATACGCCATTCGTTCCATCAGGATCCTGGAGCCCATGTGCACCATTGGGTTGGAATCAGGGTTTTCCAACTCCCCTAGGTGGACTCTCCGTGTCCACCAACCTGGTTAAAGCGAAGTACATTGGCTTTTCGTCCTCTCAATTTCGTAAACAACAGTAATGCCACGAGAAGACAGTGAGTAGGACTTTCCTGGCAGAGGCTATATACGCGTGGCCATGTGAGAGCATTTCGAGAGAGCAGACTCTAGCCACTCTCGGCCGTACCAGGGCATTTAGGGGCTCATCTTAACACTTTTTAGTATACTACAATAAATTATTCATTTATATTACCAGAATTATGAATGTTTAATAACTAGGCTAAGTCTGAATGTTAATTTTTGAGTCCTTCAGAGTGGTAGAGAAAGACCATGCCGAAAAATTCTGTGCATAATTTTGTAGGCTTCTAACCTAATCAACCAATTTATGCCATGTCATATGCTCTTAAAGTAGCACTGGAAGCTTACTGATTACAGTTTTCAAATTTCAACCATTGGATTACAGATTGGTACTATGCTTAACCCTTCACATGGTATGGATTGAAGTCAAGTAAATAAATTTGTACTTTGTGAGTTACGACAGAGGTAGCATTGGTGATAACTGTTGAACAGTTCATTTCTTATCCCGTATACAATCTAATATCTAATAAACTGTAAAGGCAAATTGTCAGTCAGTCAGTTACAACGTAGGACCAGGCACACATATGAATCGGTCCAAGTTGCCATACCTCGTTAGCACAACAAGATCAACACCGGATTCATAGAAATAGTTAATTTAGTGGTGATAGTAAATAAAAGAAAGGTTGTATATAAGGATATAGTATAGGAAGGAAGAACGTTATGAAGCAATTTTATTCTTATGGTTTAAGGGAAAATAAAGAGTGTATACAACTACGCCATTGTGATCGATTCTGAGCCATGTCACACAGAGTCTCCAACCATTGGTTACGATAGTCACGCGGACCCCAACCAGGTAGTCTGCATCTACCAACATGGCTCAGATTAGAAGTTAGTGACTTCAAGCACTGATGCCACGTTTTGGTTTGGCTGCCCCTAACTCTTTTCCAACCATCCCCTACACTAGTCAGCATAGCGCGTTGTGGTAATCGGTGTTCAGGCATACGTAACACATAGCCTAATCATCTCAGTTGATGAAGATTCATCATTTCATCAACTGATTTACCATCATTTCCTAATACCCTGCGTCTAACCTCACTATTACTTACCCGGTGATCCCAGCAAATGTGAGCAATATTTCTAAGGCATCTGTGGTCAAATACTAGTAACTTACGAGTATCTTCTACTCTTAATGGCCATGTTTCACAGTCGTAAAGTAGAACAGAACGAACTGTGAAAAACACTGAATAATCAAGCCTAAAAATGTGTTTTATGTCAGATATATATATACAAGAAGAAATCACTATTAGTCAAAATTAGACCCCAAAAAATGAAATAGCTATAAACACCCACATATTTTGGCATGGGAAAAAAGATTCTGTAAGACATAGAGAAACAGAAAAAAACTCTGAAAAATTATAAATATTTGACCTATGAAAAAAAGTAAGACAGATTACTTTTAATCTTTTGTCTGGTAAAGAAAGGTGGAAAAAGAAGAAGAAACAGGAAGAGAAAACATAAATTTATGCCTTCCATCACCACCACCATCATAATCATCAATATAATCAGTTTACAAATTATATTGCTCCAAAAGGTAGAGAAATGTACAAGGTTATTTAGTGAATAATTCATAATATATAAGTGTCCTTTGCGTTAAATTAAAAAAAAGTGTAAGGCAAGTTAGGAACTGATAAATGGCTTATACGAATACATCGATATATAATTTCTGACATATATAAAAAATGTGTGTTTACTAGTATATCAACTATGGAGAAAGGTAGATAGGTTATTCATTAAGACAGATTCTTGGTTGTGTTTGAAGCATCTGTTAGCGTGGTTAACACGTATAATAGTTGAAACATAACCTGTAGTTACCAGTCAGTAACAGAAAACATAAAA